CCCAGCTTCCCCCCCCTACACGACTTAGGGAGCCACTGGTCTGTCCATTTCCATTCTTGACCTTATGTTCAGTTCATGCTTTTGCACTGTGGCTGGAGAGGTCATTAAAATCTATAAGCTGGACTTTCCTTTTGTGCTTAAAACCCCTCACTTGTTTCTCACTCGTCGCCTTCACCCAGACCTGCATCCCTGGCCCCTGTGTCACCATTCAGCCCTGTCCAGCTGCACTCACCCCCTTGCTCACTGTTCTCCAGCTACACTGGACTTCTGTGGGTCCCTTGCAGATGCTGCCACAGGGCCCTTGCATGTGCTGTTCCAGGAAGTACCACTCTCTCCATTTTCCCCCTCCAGCTCCTACTCCTTTCTCAGGCCTGGCTCAGACATCAGTTCTCTGGAGCAGCATCTCCCACACCATCTCTCTCACAGCAGCCCACTCTCCTGGAGTTCAGCACGCCTGCAGTTAGGGCTTGTGTGTGCGTGTTTTTTGTTTAATGTCCATCAGACTCTGAGCTGCATGAGGACAGAGGCCACATTCAGAACTGCATTTCCAGGACTTACTACTGTGTCCAGCACTTAGCTGCTGTCCCATGGAGCGCTGTTCAGTGAATGAATGAGAGAATGATTCAGCATCGGCCAGCAGTGCTCATTCACTCAGGGTCTGCATGTTGGTGCTCATGGTTTGTCCCAGTGGGCTGAGTTTGGATCAGACTTGTCATTGGGATCCTCCACTAACAAGTCTAATTAGCTCTTGGGTCCAAGTTGGTATAATGGTCATCATTTGTTTTAGGGAGTGTTGTGGCTGTTTATTGTTGTGAAGAAATCCAAGAGGTCAGTTTAGGCCAATTTCATCTGACGCAGGAGCTGATTCAGCAGTGTTTTCCAGAACCCACCGCAAACCAACGTCAGGTTAGAGGTTGTCATAGGTAATAGTCATGAGCTGTGCACCTTGTGTCTTGAATAGTGTGCATGGGCCCCGAGCTGCTGTTGCCTGTTAATTGTGGGTGGGGTCAGCTCTCACCTGTACTGACGGGAGGAGGTGGGAGGCCCCACAGTGTGGGGAGTGAGGAGGTGAGGACCCAGCCCTTTCTCTGACCACCTGGACCACTGGCCTGAGGGGAGCAAAGGCTCTAGGTGCACCCTGCAGCCCCAGGCCTGCTTTGCTTTTATCTCTGCCCTCTAGGAGTTCGGATGTTACTTGCTTTTCAAATGATGGGCATAATCGGGTGTGTCCAGTGAAACACACACGTTTTTCTTCTTACTATTCCCAAGTCACTTTCTACAGTTGCTTTGTGTGCAGAAGCGTGTTGTTTTTCTGAGGCTCCAAAATCAAGTTGAAATTTACAAAGTATTTACCTAAAATCTCTCTCCTTCTTCAGTTTCTTCATCTGTAAAGTGGGGAGAATAACAGAACCCACCTCAGAGAGCATGAGTATTGAGTGCTGTGAAGTTGCTAGCACAGCACCTGAAACGTCGCAGTAGCAATGTTGCTGGTAGAGTGACTCACGTATGTGGTTGGTTCTTATCCTTCTTTTTGGCTGCGTTGGGGCTTCGTTGCTGCGCGCGGGCTTTCTCTAGTTGCGGTGAGCAGGGGCTACTCTTCATTGTGGTGCAGTGGCCTCTCCTGTTGCAGAGCATGGGCCGTAGGTGCGCGGGCTCGGCAGTTGTGGTGCACGGGCTTACTTGCTCTGTGCCATGTGGGATCTTCCCGGACCAGGGCTGGAACCCGTGTCCCCTGTGTTGGCAGGCGGATTCTTCACCACTGCGCCACCAGGGAAGCCTTGGTGCTTATCTTTAATGGAGTGTCTGGCTGACACATTTCCTTTTTTTTGATTTGGTCATTTTTTATTTTTATTTTTTTAAAATTTTTATTAGAGTATAGTTGATTCATAATGTTGTATTAGTTTCAGGTGTACAACAGAGTGAATCAGTTATACATATACATACACCCACTCTTTTAGATCCTTTTACTGCATAGGTCATTACAGAGTATTGAGTAGAGTTCCCTGTGCTATGCGGTAGGTCCTTATTAGTCGTGTGTGTTATATATAGTAGTGTGTATATGTCCATCCCAATCTCCCAATTTATCCCTCCCCACCCCCCGCTTTCCCCTGGTAACCATAAGTTTGTTTCCTAACTCTGTGACTCTGTTTCTGTTTTTACAGAGTTCATTCGCACCACCTTTTATTTTTTTTTTTTTTTGTGGTACGCGGGCCTCTCACTGTTGTGGCCTCTCCCGCTGCGGAGCACAGGCTCCGGACGCACAGGCTCAGCGGCCATGGCTCACGGGCCCAGCCGCTCCGCGGCATGTGGGATCCTCCCCGGACCGGGGCACGAACCCACAGCTCCTGCATCGGCAGTCGGACTCTCAACCACTGCACCACCAGGGAAGCCCTGTTTTGTTTTTTAACGTGAAAATAGAATAGTGACTAAGGTGACTGGAAGAAAGTGCGAGTCGTGAGCATTTTGTCCTGTGGCCCTTTTCCTTAACCCAGTACTCTGCTGCCCTCCATTTCTCATCCTTTCATTCCTTTCCTAGAGGAAGCCTCTCTGTCATCAGGTTCGATCGCTTCTTTCTGTTATGTTTCTCCGAAGCTCTGCTCGTGCTCAGACCCCTCCATCTGCTCGTGGAAGAGCCCTTGCAGAGTGCCTCCTGTGTGTCTGAGGCCAGGGGAGGCTTAACCCTGCTGTTCCCAGCACCACCTTCTTGGAGGGACCGCACCTCCCTCCTTCACGTCTGCCTCGACCTATAACACATAATAGGCATCCTGTGAACGTGGGATTTGTATTTGAAGTGTCATTTTTAAATACCCTCATTTAGAAAAGTAAAGTGTCGTTAAAATTTTTTTGTGAATTCCATGTCTTTAAGGAGCTTTGACTGTTAAATTGAAAAAATAAGCGAATACGTAATAAGTAGTAACCGAGAATAATGCATACTGGTTAAGATTAGTTTGAACGTATGCTTGATTTCGAGTTTGTGCTGGTCGGGATGGATATCTGGAGGCCGTTTATCTTTGTTTTGTCAAGGAACTGTTTCCTAATTAATTAAAGAGTTTAAGGGAGTTTGGCTGAAAAAGACATTAAGTCCTCAATTCATTATGAAACATTCCTGGCAGCTCTGCTTATCATCTCTAGACTGTTTTGTTTCTCTGTGACATTGAAGGTGACAGCATGAGTCTCCACAAGTGTTTTCTAACTCAGACGCTTTCTGAGCCAAAATGGTGAACTTCACTGCCTTCAGTCTCCTCTGGGAGCAGCTCCCTGAGCTAATGATGGAAATTGGTCATTGCAGATATTGAACATGAAACCACTACAGATCGTATTTCCCTCGAGAGCAGACCCCGAAAGCCCCCTCATCGACCTGGACCTTCACCTGCCCTTACTGCGCTTCAGACCTGAGAAGGTGCTACAGGTATGCGTCCTTCCACACCTGTGAGCATCTCATGCTGACTGGCTTAATGGGGCATCACAACTACTCAGAACACTTTTTTTGCTTAAAGCCGACATTCACCACAGAGCACGCTGTTGGCAGGCAGCACTTTTCTGGGGTCAGGTGGCTTTGGTCCTGGCAAGCGGCGTGGGGACAGCAGGGTGGAAGCTGCCCTGCGCCCGGCCTCGTTGGGTGGCGCCCTCGCAGTGTTTCAGGCTTGCTCGCGGTGTTGTTGCTTCCCCAGATCCTAACGTGCCTTCTGACGGAGCAGCACGTCGTGTTCTTCTCGTCCAGCTGGGCTCTGCTGACGCTCGTGGCCGAGTGCTTCATGGCCTACCTGCACCCCCTGCAGTGGCAGCACACCTTCGTCCCCATCCTGTCGCGGCAGATGTTGGACTTCGTCATGGCGCCCACGTCCTTTCTCATGGGCTGCCACCTGGACCACTTTGAAGAAGTCAGCAAGGTTAGGCACCCGCCGCTGGATTCAGAGCATTAAGTCACGTGGGCGCTTTGCGGGGACGCGTGGGAAGCTGCTGGGAGGTGCCCTGCGGTGTGGGGGGGGCGCAGAGGCTCGCGGTCACTCCCATCACAGGGCGCTAGCGCTACCTCCTTGTCCTCGAGGCCACACCCTGATGCCACTTCTCAGGCCACTTAAATTCACGGCAGCTCTGGTGGCTTCCAGGGTTTTCAGGGAGGTGAGGGCAGGCGTTGGAGTCGAGGGAACTGATTTCAAGTCTCACCTCTGCTGCTTACTAGTTCTGCGACCCTGAGTGACTTACTGGCCTTTGCTAAGCCTCAGTCTCCTTATCTGGGAAGTGGGCACGGCCTCGGCCTCCCAGGGCTCTGGCTGAGGAATGTCCCCTGTCCTGCCTGGCAGGTGACTGGGCTTCGTGGATGGGAGCCACCATTGTTATCACTCCATATTTTCCATTTTCACTTTCTTTTTTTTTTAATACACAATGTATTTATTTATTTATTTATTTATGGCTGTGTTGGGTCTTCATTTCTGTGCATGGGCTTTCTCTAGTTGTGGCAAGTGGGGGTCACTCTTCATCGCGGTGCACAGGCCTCTCACTATCGCGGCCTCTGTTGTTGCGGAGCACAGGCTCCAGACGCGCAGGCTCAGTAATTGTGGCTCACGGGCCCAGTTGCTCCATGGCATGTGGGATCTTCCCAGACCAGGGTTCGAACCTGTGTCGTTTGCATTGGCAGGCAGATTCTCAACCACTGCGCCACCAGGGAAGCCCCATTTTCACTTTCTTAAGCCTCTGTTGTTCATTAAAACCGTGGACCTACTTCCTAGAAGAGTGCAGGTGCGTGCAGTGTATTGCTCCGTGTCCAAGGGGCCCGTGGGCCTTGCTGGATCCAGTGGCCATTTACTGGATTCAGCTTGGGGGCTGACCTGTGTCGAGGTGTTAGGCCTTCAGTGTCCTGGTCGTGAAAGGACAGGGAGTGTGCTGGCCACATCATCATAGCAGCGTCAAGGGGCCAATAGAGCAGGCTGGCATACAGTAAGTGCTTAAAATGCAGCAGCTGTTTTTACTGCTGTGCTGATGGGGTGCATTTCGAAGGGGAGCTCATGCCACATGTTTGTGATAAACTGTGACATCGCCAGCAGGAAGAGCAGGTTGGGTTTTCTTAAAACAGCTTTTTTTCAGATATAATTTGCATACCACAGAGTTTCCCGGACTTAACTGTACAACTCAGTGGCTTTAGGAACTTGGTAGAGCTGTGACAACTAATTTTAGACTCTTTGGTCAGCCCACAAAGAAACCCTGCATGTGTTAGCAGTCATCCCCCAACCCCCCAGACCCTGGCGACCAGCATCTACTTTCTATCTCTGTGGAGTTACCTGTTGTATATACGTGGATTTTACGTAAATGGAATCATTCAATGCGTGGTCATTTATGACTGGCTTCTTTCACTTAGCGGCATATTTTTTGAGGTTCATCCGTGTAGCAGCACGTTATTTTTATTGCCGAGTAGGATTCCCTTAAATGAAGAGGCCACAGTTGTTTATCCATTCGGGAGTTGAGAACATTTGGGGTTGTTTTGATGTTTTGACCACAGCTGTGAATAATGCAGCTGTGGACACTCATGTACAAGTTTTTGTGTGGACATGCGTTCATTTACCTTGGTACGTACCTAGGAGAGGAATTTCCGGGTCAGGTGCTAGCGCTGTGTTTAACCATTTGAGAAATGTCCAGACTGTCGTTCCCCGCTGCTGCCCCAGACACCTTCCCTCCAGCAGAGGGCGAGCTCGATTTCCGCACTTCCTCCCAATGCTTGTCTTCTGTCTTCTTGATTCTAATCCTCCTGCTGGGTAGTTTTGATGTGCGTTTCCCCAGTGACTAGCGATGTGCAGCACTTTTCCTTGTGCTTATTGGTAGTTGGTACAGGGTAGGTTCTCAGTTAACTTCTTATTTTATTATTTTTAAATTTTTATTAGACTAAAGTTGATTTACAGTGTTGTTTAACTTTTTATTTTGAAAATTTCTAAGTGTACGCAAAAGCTGAGAGAAGTGCCGTGCGCCCCTCTCTGTCCTCAGCCGTCATCCATTTTTTTTCCTGGCGTTTTAGACCAAATCCTGGCCGAGCCCAGCGTCCCTTCTGTGGTGGAGCCGGGACGTCTGTGTTGTTGGCAGAACCTATGACTCACCAGGGGACAAACACACTGTGGGAAAAGGCCATTCAGACCTCACGGAAGGAATGGAAAAACGTCACCCTCGCAAATGAAGGAAAAATAGGCATACTTTGTAGTTCAAAATTGTGTTTCTTTTTTTAGTCATTAGGGGAAAAACCGTCTTGTTTCAGCCCCTTCAGGAGGGAAACTTGCAGACATATTTACTTGATTCCAGTCTGCAGCCACAAAGGAAGTCGTTTTAGCGGTTTACCTGTTCTGGGAGGTTTTTAGGGCAAAGCAGCTGGTCTTGACTGAAAGTGTTTTGGGGTTTGGATGTCTTCTCGATGTGCTGGGAGCTCGGAAGGGGTCCTTGTAAAAGCTCCGTGTTCGTGCTCACGAGCGTGGCCTGTCCCCTGCTGGTTTATCACTCTGCTCTGCGAGACGTGTTTGTGCCTATTTCACGTGCCACGAAACGCGTGTTGAGAGGCCGGCCCAGCATGGAAGCTGGGGAGGATTCTGGCGTCCTGTTCCTGGGACAGTTGAAGTGTAGAACTCAGGAGGGTGACTCATTATTTGTGTGTTTTGTCACAGATAAGACTTAACAAGTAAGCCATCCACACATCTCAAGAACTCTTAAGTGTGTGGGATCCCAGAGCCCAGGACCCGCCTGTGCTCTGGTCCTTGGGGTGGTGGGGGGCGCGGAGCTGGCTGGGCCGCTCAGCGGGCACCCTGAGTGTTGAATGTCGGAGTGCTCCCACTGGGGCTCTGGAATGTTCTCTCCAGGCTCCCTGAAGTGGCACATGGAGTGTTTGCACAGGGGTGGGTGAAGGCCTGACCTCGTGTGTTGGAATCTTGACTCAAAGAGTCATTTTTAATCAAATTAGCTTGTTAACCTAACTCATGGTATACGCTGCATTTTTCTGGTAGATAATATAAGGCTTTGTGCATATTAGATATGATAATTATCGATGACACGATCTTGGTGAATGCAAAGTGTATCTTTGTGTTTTCAAAGATGTATACACATTCAGATTCTTACTCCGATCTTTACAAACTTATTTTATAGGAAGCCGATGGTTTAATTCTGATAAACATTGACACTGGGAGCATCACCTACTCTAACGATGAGGACGTTGATGTTCCTGACATCCCTCTCCTGGCGGCACAGACTTTTATTCAGAGGTAAGGGGGGAAATAGTAGGTATTTGGAAAAATCTTGTTCAGGTTCATACTTGCCAATTTCAAGGATCTCTTCCAATCTTATATTAACAGATGGTTTATGTAATATTTAGTAGTTTGGAAATTGTGAATATTTAAAAATAAAAGTCATTTGTCTTCATTCCAATCTTGTCTGAATGTTAACGATGGCCCCCAGGCCAGGGGACGGTCACACCCCCGGGACACCTCTCGACCCTCTTCTGCGCCTGTGATCTCTGAAGTTCCTTCTCTGTCCTTCCTTCCTTCCTTCCTTCCTTCATTCATTTATCCACTCACCAGATGTGTATCCAATGCATTGGGCAGAGTATGTATATAATGAACAAACAGATGTGGCCTCTGCCGCATGGCACTGTCAGTCGGCGGCCCCTGACGGCCATGACCCACTGTCCTTCCCTGGGCAGGAAGCTGTCTTCCCCTTTCACCCCCCCACCCCGCTACCCAGTGCTCTCTTAGTTCTTTTATTTTTTCATAACCTGTTTTGTGGCTTTTTGTGGTTTTTCTGTCTCTACAACTACACTTCATTGGCTGAGATCAGGCAAGACAAACTTTTTCCAAAAAGGGCAGATAATAATTGTTGTAGGCTCTGCAGGCCCTGTGGCCTCTGTGGTGATGGGAGAGGCCTGGCGGGGACTGTCCCACGTACTTCTTTCCGGGGGATGAAAGGAGGTGTGATTACTATTTACGCTGGAAAGAAGGTGCATCTGGGGCAGGTGGGTCGGGGCAGAGCCAGGGCTCCCTCAGGTGGACCTGCGGAGGACGTTTCCCCCTTTGGAATCTAATCAAATGGTGGTGGGAGAGTCCTCCAGCTGCTTTTAGTCCTCCAGCTCGTGTGTGGACTTCAGGCAGGCCTGGCATGCAGCTCGTGGTGGGACCCGTGGAGGGCGAGGGGCGGGGGGCTAGTGCAGCAGGTGCTCCCAGCTGTCGTCAAGTAGCTGGACTCTGCTGCTCTGGTGACGCAGCCCGTCTTTTATCAGTGCCGACTGGTCCCCTTTACTTTGTCTGATGGAGGTCGGATGCGGGAGGAGCTGAGGCCTGAGTGGAGGGGAAGGAATGGGTGGTTCTGTGTTGGCTCCCTGACTTGGCTGTTCTCATTTCTGCCTCTTAGCTGTGTATTAGTCAGCGAGCGCTGCTGTAACAAACACCACCTAAGCAACAGACACTCCCAGTCCTGGAGGCTGGAAGTCCGAGATCAAGGTGTTGGCAGAGTTGGTTCCTCCTGAGGCCTCTCTTTTTGGTGTGTAGATGACTGTCTTCTCCCTATGTCTTCACGTGGTCGTCCCTCTGTGGATGTCCGTGTTCCAATCTTCTCTTATAAGGACACCAGTCATATTGGATTAGGTCCACCCTTGTGACCTCATTTTACCTTAATTACCTCCTTAAAGGCCCCATCTCCAAGCACAGTCACGCTCTGAGGTGCTGGGGGTTAGGACTCCAACCTAGGAATTTGGGGGGATACATTTCAGCCTGTAACACCTTGGTATCAATGATTTCTTCTTTCGGGATGGTTTGTACAAAGTACATGGGAGTGCCATCTTCATTATTGTTCCTTCCATCTTCAAAAAATTTGTAAAACTCCCCAAGCTGAGTCCAGGCTCGGGGTGTGGAGTCCTGTGTGGCTGGCAGGCGGTGCTCAGGGGGCCCAGCCAGGGATCCGGGTGGGAGCGTCTCCCTGCGTGAACTCCGAAGGTGAAGCCCACATTCCTCATATCCAGTCACTTTCTGATAAGCGACGTCCACAGTCCCCGGACTTGCAGAGGGTGACTTACCAGGACTGGTGTTTGCCAGCGTTGGGCGCAGCTTCTCAAGTGTGTGCATGGGTGGCACATCCCCAGTAAGATGGGATCTTACCTCTGCCCTCATGTTATTGTTAGAATTCTAGAACATGCCTGGGGGTTGGATTCTCGCTTGGCCAGGCCCCCAGACAGTGGGACGTGGAGTCTCAGGCTCACCGTGGGGGGCTGTTTATAAATGTGAACTAACCCGTGCGTGGTCGGTGGCTCGTCTGTGAAGGGCTCTGGGACCGTGATTGGGCCGTGGCAGTGGGTCTTCCCACGGGGCCTGGGGTGACGAGCGCCCACACTCGGTACTTTGCTGGGAGAGACAAGGGGCAGCAGCGCCCTTCTTCCCTGAGACGCCCCTGTGCCTGGCCGCCCACTGCCGCACGGTCTTCCTCATCATGATCAGAGTGTGTGTCTGCCGGGTCCCTTCTGCCCCACCTGACCTTTGGATACTGTTGGGTGGGTTTACTTTGCACATTTAAAGCCTCAGACTTGCTCCTTGGTGTCCAAAGTCTCATGTAAAAGTGCAGCCTTGGGGGCTTCCCTGGTGGCGCAGTGGTTGAGAGTCCGCCTGCCGATGCAGGGGACACGGGTTCGCGCCCCGGTCCGGGAAGATCCCACGTGCCGCAGAGCGGCTGGGCCTGTGAGCCATGGCCGCTGAGCCTGCGCGTCCGGAGCCTGCGCTCCACAACGGGAGAGGCCACAGCAGTGAGAGGCCCGCGTACCGCAAAAAAAAAAAAAAAAAAAGTGCAGCCTTGGGCAGTGTTGGGGAGGCCAGGATCCTGTGTGATGAAAACCGCTGTAAGCCCCCGTCCCTGAGAACCTCCAGACAAGTAAGTGGCCGTGCCTCGTGCCCCCGAGCCTGTCTGGGCAGGGAAGCTGCGCCGTCCCTCCCAGACCCACTGGAAACCCTTTGGGTGTCGTGGAAGGGCAGGTGTCTGCAAAGGAGGACAGGACTCTCAGCTTGTGTAAAGATGTGCGTGGTCCAAAGACGAGGCCTTCGTGAATTCTGCACTAATGAGCCGTTTGTGCTGGGAGGTGAATAAACTCCCAACAGGGATGTATTTGTAATGACACCCTCCCCGCCCCAGTTATTGATAGGGAGTCTGAGTGTCCTGAGAGTGTTAACTTCCCTCTTCCTGGAGGGTTCTCTCTGGCCGGTAAGCAGCAGTCAGTCACGTGATACGGGCTGGGCTGTGGTCAGTGTCTCTCTGCTCCTTTCCAGGATCCAGAGCCTTCAGATGCACCGTGAGCTGGACCTCGCTCACCTCTGCGCCAGCACAGACCTGAATGAGGGGCGAGCCTGCAGGCGGGCCTGGCAGCAGCGGCTCAACTGCCAGATCCAGCAGATCACCCTGCAGCTGCTCGTCTGCATCTTCAGGTATTTAAAACATCTCCAGTGTCTGTAACCTGGTCCCCAGCCAGCTCCCAGTTCCGTAATGGCCACGGCCCCAAAGCTCAGGGACTGAAATCCAGGATTGATGAGAGAGAGACCCCTGCCTCCAGGAGGATCCCTGAGAGTGTGTTCACCCGCCTGGGGCCTTGCCACCCCCTCGTCTGTCTTGCGAATGACCACCTTGGATGGTCAGACCCGGGTAGGGGGACAGACGGATCATTTCGGGAATGAAGCTGCCCAAAGGAGAGCCCAGGCTGGAGCACCCAGGACTGGCTCCCGTTAGAAACTTTTCTTCTTTCTTCCCATCACTGTCACCATCAGCATCTATTGTGTGCTGTTGGGAACCAGCCCTTGAGCTGAATCAGTTAAATAGACAGTGCGCTGTGTTTACTTCAGTGTGATACAGTGCAGGCGTCGAGTGCCTATTGCTGGCCTAAATGTGCACTCATTTAAGGAACATAATGATAAATATATGCCTACATTTATGTCACACCTTCGTGAAGACGTTATTGGTGGCAAAGCCTTCAGGCCTTTTCTTTCTTCCCACTCTCTCTTCTCTGCTTTGTCTTGCAGCCTCCTCTCTCTCTCTCCCCCACCTCTCCCCACCTCTCTCCCCCCGGAAGGAAGGAGGGGATAATCACACGTTCCCTCCCAAACTGTAGATAGAAGGAATACATACTGGCCAGGTCCTCGCAGGAGAGCTCTTGAGTTCACCTGAGTTTGTTTTATTAACCAAGCTCCTCCCAACCTCTCCCCCCTCCCCCCCCTCTCTCCCTCTCTCCCCCCTCTCCCCCCCAACTCTCTCTCCTGGGTCGTGTAGCAGGGAGGGTGGCAACACCAGGTCCCCTTCTGATCTGGACAGACCCTGCCTGGGAGGGGTCTTTAGACCAGAACTGGCCAACTTGATGACACTCAGTGTGATTCTTTCAAAATCAACATTTTAATGGTTGTATTATTTTGCTGTCTATATTTATGTAAGCAAATGATTTATTAGGGAAAAATGGGATGTCATGTTATAGATGGGTTGTATTAGCTCTTTGCTCAGAGCAGTGTAATTTGTGTGGTTGTCGAAATGTAGTTTTCCTTTTGTTCTTTTAATATGAAATCTTTCATGAAGGTTTTTGTTTTTTAATACTCTGCAAACTTGATGAGTTTAGTTCATTAAAAAGAAAATACGATATCAGATGAAGTAATTTTTTCCCTCACAAGAGGAGGAAAACATCGAACGTGCCACGTCCTGAATATGCCCTGTAGGATTACTGACTCTGTTGGTAGGCTATCACGGTAGATCAGGGGGTCATGTGCCCAAGTCCCCACGGTGTAGGGTGGGGAAGTGGCCGGCGAGGGTCAGGCTGGCGGCCGAGCTGGGTCAGTGCTCAGAGTCTGGGTGCCCTTCCTGTGTCACCACCCTGAACTCAGTTTTATTTGTATGAACAATTATGGATGGTTGCGTCTTCATTTGCATAAGGAGCTAGGGGGCTCGAAGAAGACAGACACCCCCCCAGGCCTGAGCTTCATTCCAGTTGGAGGAAAGCTGTGCTTGAAGTGACGAGAAAGCCCCACCACAGAATACATCCAAACTGTGTCCCTCAGCGCTCAGAATACTGTTCCTACAGACAGGGCTTTTCAAAGTGTGTATTTCTTGTTACTGTTTTTCTGCTAACAGCAACGTCTTTTTCATGTATTTAAAAATATTTCAACCCTTAGACTATCTTTCTTCATCAGGGAAGTGAAGAATCACTTAAATTATGAACATAGGGTGTTCAATAGTGAAGAGTTTCTCAAAACAAGAGCTCCAGGGGACCAGCAGTTTTATAAACAGGTAAGAGGTGTGTGGGGTTTGTGTGCGTGTGTATAGTCAATCCCTCGCCCTTTTCTGTATCTAAAGCATTTTTCAAGTCAAGTGTTTCCAGTATCTGTTAATATTTTATTCAGTGTTTTAGCTTTTCTAAAAGTTTGTTTTAGCGTGGTTTCTTCTGATCCTTTGGCCAGCTCTGATTTTTTTTAATTGGCTTTTTAGAGTGGGATTTACATATAACAGAATGCACCCATTTTAAGTATAGCGTGTGCAGAGTTTTGACCAAGGCATGTACCTGGTCGCCCCTTCCTCAGTCTGGATCTAGAACCTTTCCATCATGCTGCACAATTCCATGCCCTTCCCATCACTGCCCCCTTCCCAGGGCCGGGCAGCATCCACACTCCCTGGGAGCTGACTTGGAGATTGTTGCGTGTGAGTCTGGAGACCGGGTGTGCTGGCTGTGAGGTGCGGAGCGTTAGAGAGGCTGCCTGCCGTCCCCAGGAGACACCAGAATCCATGACAAAACACAGGGACTGCGGCAGCTGCGGTCCCGGGGGGGGAGACCATTACGTTGATAACCTATGGAAACAGTTCTTGACTATTCAATGGCTCAGGCTTGGGGAACTGTCTGGTTGCCGGACAAATGCATCCTGATCACCTGCCTGGGGGTATGTGCGTGGGGGGGGGGGGGGGGGCAGGGTGGTTTGGGCTTTTGAACTTTCTGTGGTTTTTCAAATGCAAAGAGTGGCTGATTCTTTGAGATTGGCTGGTGAGGGATTGAGGGGAAATCTTAGATTATGATAAATTAAGAAAGCTACCTGTGTCTGGGCACTTTTGTCCAAAGGTGCTGGCGAGAGGCCTCGGTGGGTCAGGAAGGGCCACTCGTGCAGTGGCTGCAGGTGCCCTGGCAGCTTGGGGAGGAAAGGACCGTGGAGCAGGTGGAGCAGGTGCAATAACCCGCCCCTCGGCGTCTGTTCCAGGTCTTGGATACCTATATGTTTCATGCTTTCCTCAAGGCTCGGCTCAGCAGAAGGATGGACGCCTTTGCCCAGATGGACCTCCACACACAGTCCGAAGAGGACAGGTTTGCATATTACGTTCTAAAGGATGCACGACTCCTTGGGTGTCCGTGTGCTCAAGGAGCACAGTTTTATTTGGAAGGATAAATGATAAATTCGATCAGAGAAGTCTCACATTTAGAAATTCATAATGAGTCGGGTAACACGTCAGGCTCCTCCCCGTGCATTTCTGTTTCTTGCGGGGGACGCTGAACGTACCTGCAGTGGCAGCTCTGGGTCTTTGTGCTGTTTTCTCCCCATTTTCCTTCTCTTTCTCTCCCCACATCATCACTGTTTCCCGCCTCTTCCATGACGTTTTTCCTGAACCCCTCAAACGTGTATCAGTTGTCGACGACGCCCTTGTTTGTTCTGTGTGTTGTGGCTTCTCCTGGGGTGTGGACTGTATACAGCCTTCACTACACGTGGGAGAGCCAGGAATGTGCCCGCCGTTTCCCACTCGGTGTGGGAACGCTGGATTCTGGCCGCCACGCTGGGGAAAGTGCCCAGTTGAGCCTGTGCTTCAGCCGTTGCTGTGTCTACAAGGTGTTGGGTTTTTCCACCCAGGATGGACGGGATGCTCCTGAGTCCAAGAAGACCCACGATTGAGAAGATGGCCAGCCGGAAGTCCTCAGCCCCACATGGGGCTCACAGGCGCATGGTGGTCAGCATGCCCAACCTGCAGGACATCACGGTGCCTGAGCTGCCGCCCCGGAACTCGTCGCTGCGGAAGATACATACCGAGGATGGTGGGAGCAGCCACACAGGTGGTCCAGCCACGCCTGTGCTGTGGCTTTTCTCACTCACTTGGTTCTCATGCTGCCGGTCACTGAAAGAAACCAAAGCTCGTTTCAGTAGAAGGGAATGGGGGTTTTTTTGCTGTTGCTTTTCTGGCAATTTAGTCATTTGAAATATTTTTAGAATATTCATTTTGCAGACTATGTTCGTTATAGAAAGCGATTTCTCATCTGTATTTTCCATCGCCCCGTCCCACTGTTTCATACTTGTGTGTGTATATGCACGTATGTGTATGTGTACGTAGGAGATACATGTTTAGATATATATGACTGTCTAAGGGGATGCAACCAACTCTTAGGCCCCCAGTGATTGCCAGGCCCTTCCTAGGAGCTGGGGGTACAGAGGAAGCCAGTGCCCGTGGGAGAAACTGCAGTGAGGCCAGCGCTGTGAGCCGCACGGGCCCCCAGTGGCTGCTGCCTCGGGCTAAGGCACCAGTACCAGCTGGTACCTCCTGGCGCATTCGCGGGAGAGCTGGAGGCTGAGTGGGGATCATGCCGGCGACGCCAGGGGGGGCCGTGTGTTCAAATGAAAAGACCTTACTGACCTTCGGGAGGCTCCGGGTGGGTGTGAGTCCCCTGCACAGCTGCTTCCGGGCTGTGTGACCCTGGGGTACCCAGTAGCTGTGTACCGAGGACCCGGGGAGGCCTCAGTCCCCACCCTGGGAGATGGGCGTGCTAACAGTACCCATGGCTCAGAGCTGCTGTTAAGGTAAATGAAACAGCTATTTGAGAGGCTTACCTGCCTGGCAGGTGCGTCTCGGCCTAGGTTATTAGCTTAGTCCTTCAACAAAGACTCACTGCCACGTGTTTCAACTTAGCATCAGCAGTTTTAACAAATAACATTATTTGTGCCATGGGAGCAGTGAGGGGCCCCGTTCAGCGTGGGGCATGTGGAGCTTTCTGGAAGAGGCGCGGGGCGTCCTGCTCCACGCACAGAAATGGCCCTGGGCAGAGTGATGGGGTGGGGACGCGTGTCTGTTTCTAAGGTCTGTGCTAACCGTTCATCTCCCCTTCACTCCTCAGTTCTGGACGTGCCCCTCAAGTTGATATACACCTTCAAGATCCCGGAAATCCACTTTCCACTGGTGGGCCAGTGCGTGCAGGCGTTCCACGCGGACTGCGTGGCCCAGCTGAGCAAAGCCATGGCCTCGCTGCCCCCCGAGAACTCGGTGCTGCTGGCAAGGTACTTCTACCTGCGAGGGCTCGTCCAGCTGATGCAGGGCCAGCTGCTGGGCGCCCTCCTGGACTTCCAGAGCCTGTACAAGACGGACGTGTGCATCTTTCCCGCCGACCTCGTCCAGAGGACGGTGGAGTCCCTGTCGGCGCCCGAGCGCGCACAGGCCGAGCGGACGCCCGAGCTGCGCCGGCTCATCAGTGAGGTCATGGACAAGCCCGAGGATGCCCCCAAGGCCGACGACCGCGTCAAGAACTTCGAGCTGCCCAAGAAGCACATGCAGCTGGACGACTTCGTGAAGAGGGTGCAGGAGTCGGGCATCGTGAAGGACGCGGGCATCATACACCGGCTCTTCGAGGCATTAACCGTAGGTAGGAGGATGCCCGCGGGGTGGGCGGTGCAGACCCTCGAGGGCAGGTCGGCCCAGCCCGGAGGAGCCTTGTGGGGCGGGCGAGGGCTCTACCTGCTTCCTGGGCTGGCCGAGGCTCTGGGAAGGGGGTGGGGATGGAGGGTCTGGCGACGCTTAATGGCATCTCTCCCGTCCTGGGGGGTTGCTCGCTGTGTGCTGACCCCTTCCTCCCACGTGGGGATGCGTGGCTCCAGCCGGAATGCTTCAGGCACCTCCACCCCGGCTGCTTTTGTTTCCCACGTTAACTGCAGTCGTCTGGTTGGTCCAGAACCCTTTCTGCCCCTCCCTCCTCAGAGGGACACTGTCCCAAACTAGACCTTTCCCTTCTGACGAAGTTCTTATGCATTTGTGGCACATGGATGCACCCACAAGCAGAACATAGGATTTGTGCGTTTGTAAACTATACGTGACTCATGCGGTATGTGTGTGTCGGTCTGCATTTTCAAAGCATATCCGTGGTGCTCACAGGCGTCTCGCCGTGCCTTTGCTGCCGGCGGTGTTGTGCACGTGAGGGCGGCGCAGCGTGTTGGCCTGTACCCTTGGTCATGTCCGCCTGTCCCGATGCTGACGAGTGAGGCTCACAGCCTGACCCCCGGGCGTGGATGGCCTTCTCTAGGATGCTGCTGCAGCCCCGTCGGGTGGGAGCTGCCATCCCCCCAGCAGGTCCCTCAAGGCAGGGCTACAGCGCAGGGGGCTGCCCAGCCGCACCTCCTGGGCAGCGCAGGGTGCAGTCGTCTGAAGTGTTCTGCGGTTTGGTGAGCAAGGTGGCCTCGCGCTGAGCGTCGGCACCTGTGCTCGGGGGCGTCTGGGCCTCTCTCCTTGGAGCTGCGCGGCACAGCCTGGCCCGTTTTTCCATCGGGTCGGATCTCCTTCTGTGTCCTGTGCAGGAGCCCCTGTGTCCTCTGGAAAGGCCTGCTTTGCTGGTAACAGGTGTGGGATGTCCTTCCTCGTTGTGTGGCTGCCGTCGAGTTGCCCGGCCTCTCTGTACCCATGCGCGCCGCCTTCTCCCCAGTGGAGGGATGGGGCCGCTTGTTCACGGTCCCTCCATCGGTCTGATGGGGGCGCGGCCGGCCCAGCGCCCACGGGGCCCTCCGTGTGGTGTCACCTTATGTCAGCCACGGAGAAGTGGCCCGTCTTGGCCAGCCAGTCTCGTCTCCCTTGGCATCTGTGGGCGACTGGCGCTGCCCAGGGGACTCCCGTGGGCAGGGCAGTGGGGGGTACACTGAGTCCGCCAGGGGCAGAGGTTCTCGCGGGGCCAACCAGCAGCACCCAGGCCACCGGGAGGTGGGGCGCAGGCGCTGAGGGGCCCGGCGCTCTCAGAGGAGGCCCTGCCCCGCCTTCCTGTGCGGGCCCTCGTGAGGACACGGGTGCGCGCACCAGGCCCGCTGCAGGGCCTGCCGTACCACGGCGTAATCCGGCCGGGGCTGCTGTTCTCTCGTGATGAGGTGTCTGGACGTGCGGCCGGCTCCTTCCTCTCCCCGCAGCCCGGGGCGCCGATGGCCTGGGCGGCACTCTTTTCCTGGGAGGAGAGGGCCTGCCCCCCAGCTCTCACCTCTCCTTGGCCAGAAGCGTGTCCCACGGGAGCCAGACAGCGCGGCTTACAGCTGGACACGTGGGCGCCGTCCAGCAGCCCCAGACTTGCAGGGACGTGAAAGGACACCCGGGAGGGCATCCTCAGATGACCACGGTGACGGTGCTGTCGCTGGCCCTGTTGTCACTTAGGCTCCATTCGCATTGCAAGCCGGTCATCGTTGGCCTTGATTCTGGGATACGCGCACCATTGTCGTGCAGCATCCAATGTACGTTTCTGCTTGACGGGCGCGTATGTGCTAATAAAAGGAGGATTAGGTCAAAGCTGAAGGTCACCATCTTAGAATAAACGGATGTAACATAAGAACACATGTCGGAGTCTGGTATTCGAGGTGCAGGGCCCTCACGACCTGGCCCCAGGGCGGGGAGTCAGCTGTGTGTGGCCCTCAGTGTGGCCCATGGGAGCTCGGGGAGCCGGTGACCCTGCCTCCCCCGTAAGATGAGCTGGAGGGGCTGTGTTGGAGTGCGGGTGAGGGGCAGAGGTGAACAGTTGGCATTTTTGTGCAGAATTGGAGACAAATGAGTGTTGTGTCCGTGGCTGTGGATGTGCGTGGTGGCCCCTCGTGTGCACGGTGGCTATTGCTGTGTGAGTGCCGTGGATGTGCACCATCCAGCTGTGCCGCGGCCTTGGCAGGGGTGGCGTCCACAGGCCCGTGTGGGGCTCCCTGGCCTCTCTGGTGTCCTTCACCCCGGCTCTCAAAGCCCGCGAGCCCGCCTCCCATCTGCCTGTGAGAGGAAGCCGTTTCCGGTTCTGGGGACCTGCGCTTCGCTCCACTTGGCCCCGGCACTCTGCAGGGACCCAGGTGGTGGGAGCATTTGTCCTAATGACAGAAGGGACGGGTCTCTTGGCTCCAGGCTCCACGTCCCAGCATCTTTGGCTCCAACTTGCATTAAGTAATGGCTTCGTGGTTCTCCCCAACCTCCCCTCTCTCGCTCTCCTGATTCTTGGGCTTTTCCTTGGCTACGTAGACTGAACATCCTCTTCCTTGTCGTCCACTTAAAATAGCCAAGTGCTTCTGATTAAAAACGTAATCATTCAGAACCGCCAGGAGGTGTAGATGGAGGTGCCCCAGTCAGAGGCAGCTACACGGAGTAGCCTTTCCAAAATGGAAGCGGGATGAGAACCGTTTCATGGGGTCAGGGGCCCCACCCTGATGCGCGCCCTCTTGGTGCCTCGCTGCCCAGCACAGGGACCCCCGGGCCCGTCTGCCTGGGCACCTGCCCACCGGCCCTTGTGCTTCATTTTTTTCAGTGACTTTCTTTTTTTTTTTTAAGATTTTTTTTGATGTGGACCCTTTTTAAAGTCTTCAGTGAATTTGTTACGATATTGCTTCTATTTTGTTTTGGTTTTTTGGCTGCAGGGCACGTGGGATCTTAGCTCCCCGACCAGGGATTGAACCCACACCCCCTGCACTGGAAGGCAAAGTCTTAACCACTGGACCGCCAGGGAAGTCCCTCAGTAACTTACTTTCTAAAAACGACACAAATATATACAGATATCCCACTGTGGTGTGATTCTGTTTGGATCCAAGGACGTTAAACAAATTTGTAAGTAGTAGACCACAGTTGTAAAGCAATTAGAAAAACACAGGTGAGCCAGAGGAGAATCAACTCAGAATCCTGCCACCTGGGAGATTTTCACCTGAATATTCCTGCGCCTGCACTGTGTGGGGATGAGGCCAGACTCAGTTGTGGCCATGACATCAAATTCCCCAGGAAACCGTTACCTGGCAGGTGTTAGGGAACCAGAGCCGAGCTTTCACAGCCTTTCTTGACCGCTTAGATCTGGCCTCCAGCCAGGCTGGGACAGGGAGGTTCCTGTGTCCCGAGCAGGCCCCCAGCGGGAAAGGCAGACCCACGAAGGCACGGTGTCGGCAGGCCGTCTGCTTGGCACCTGTCCACCCGCCGGCAGGGCTTTCCTCTCCAGTCCTCAGTCTCCTGATCTAGGACCAAGCTGCCCAGGGCAGCTGGGCCTGTATAGAGGGTAGAGCACAGCAAGCATCGTTAGATGCTGTGAGGGAAGAGTGCATCAGCTTAGTGGGCCCCTTGTCTGGGAAGGCTGCCAATGGGCCATTTTATCTGGGTCTTGAAGGATAGGTAGGAGTTTTCTGGTCCGAGCACTCCAGACCAGCATGTGCAGAGGCACGTAACAACATGCTTGTCACTGTGCTGGGATGCAGGAGTGCGAAGGGGAGGAGGGGCCTGATCCTGGAGGAATCTGGGCCTGGTGAATATGTGGAGCCTCATTCTAGGCATGGAGTGAAGCAGGCCGCCGGCGGGGGCAGCTTAGAAGGCGGGAGGCCACTTAGGAGCTTCTTCCTGTGTGGGATGTGAAGTGGCCCTCTGAGGATGGAGGGCAGACAGATCCAGGGTGCAGAATGGAGGATGCAGGAGCCAGGCACAGGGAAACATCGAGATTAGAACGGGCCGGACTTCTTAGCGGCTGAGTGGGAGTTGGGGGTGGTTCCAGCTCCACGTTACAGACAGGGAAGCAGGTTCATTCCACAGCTGGCCTGTGGTCACACTGCTAAACAATAGTGAAGCCGGGCTTCGGACTTGGGTCTCTCTCTGACTTCGGAGCCCCTGAATATTGGACATTTGGGAAGGTTGCTGCATCAACTAAGATCATCACGGTTACAAACAATAACTTATTTGCTCACATACCCGAAGAGTACTGAGATAAACTGGCTTCAGGTAGGGCTTGACCCAGTGGTGTGGGAGTGTCACCAAGGATCTGGTCTCTTTAGCATTAGCTTCACCCTGGGACTGGCCCCAAGATGGCTGCCACCAGCTCTAGAGGTGACACAGGACTTTGTCCTTGTCCCATTGTCCCTATCTGGTGCCCTAGGAGTTACTACCTGGTTAGGTAGGGGCTGGAGAGGGCAATGGGCTCAGCCCAGATCAAGTGCCCACCTGGGGAAGCTGGGGAAGGAGGGGACGCTTTCCAGGTGGTTTCCATCCAGGCAGACTTAGGTGCTGGCACCACCTGCTGTGTCCTGCAGGTGATGTGCTGCTTCCTGATTGTAAAGCAACCATCCTTGAGGCACTTGTGTACGTGGCTGTAAGAATCTCTTTTTTATTTCTTTATAAAACTAAGGACACCAAAAACAGATTGACCCAGAAACATTCAAAGATTTCTACAACTGCTGGAAGGAGGCAGAAGCAGAGGCCCAAGAGGTCAACCTGCCTTTTTCGGTGATGGAACAGCTGGACAAAAACGAGTGTGTGTATAAGCTGTCAAGCTCCGTCAAAACAAATCGCGGTGTGGGCAAGATCGCCATGACCCAGAAGCGCCTGTTCCTCCTTACTGAGGGGAGGCCGGGCTACGTGGAGATTTCCACCTTCAGAAACATAGAGGTGAGGGCAGCTCTGGAAGCCGCCTGGGCTTGGGAGGTGCAGCAGCCGGAACAGCCCACCGGGCTCTGCCAGCCGTGGGCCCGTCACAAGCCACTCATGGTTTGTGCCTCAGTTTGCTCACCTGTAAAGTGGGAATAAGGATGCACCCTCCAAATAGGAGTGATGTGAGGACTGAATAGATGGAGTGGGTGATGTGTTCAGAGCAGTAAGTGCACCGACAGCGGATTCTCTATTCAGCTGACTTGTATCTGGGGGAAGAGCAAGAAGCAAGGCAGGCTTGTCCTTTTGCTGACCTGGTTCGACAATGTAGGAGAAGCATAGATGTTGCTTCACTGAGAAACGGCCGTGGGCCAGCCCCTGTGAGCGGTTCCATCTTGTTTCCTGATCAGGTTCCTGGCTGGCCCACGCTGTTCATTTTATAACAACTTTAAATGTCATCTTCCCCACTAAGGGAATCTGAGTCGAGATCATGACTCATGGCTTACCTTTATTTTCCCAGGTTTACTTCCTAAATTTACAAGTGGCGTGTTAGATGTGTTAATCCAGTTACTGCATATTCCCAGAGACAGAAGAGGCATGAGAACTCCCCTGTGGCCCATGCTTAAGGCTGGGTCAGTGGACGCACCTTCTCACTGGTTCCTTCAGTTTCCCCCCAAGCCTGCTTTGACGGGCTTCCTCCCAGAAGTCCAGAGACAGAGATTTAAGGAGGTGAAAGAATGAAGCACCTTTAAACGCTGTGGACGAGTCCAGCGGTGTGTCTCTGTCGACGTGTGGCTGACAGGTCACACTTAGACCCACCAGGAAGGCTCGTTGAGCTCCAGACACTGCCGTGACCCTGACTCCCCGTCACCCGTCTCTGAGAACAGACCACCTGGAGGACCCCTGTTCACCCCACCCCTGGCACCCGCCTCCGGGTACTTCAGGGCCTTCTTGGGTCCTGCCGGACCTCCCCCCGGGCAGCTCCAGCCCCAGGCCAGCCCCAAGGCCTCTGCCTTCCCATGGGAATGTCAGCCAGTGCCCAGTGGGTCCCCTCGGTGTGTGCAGACCGCCACCCCTAAATGCATTTCCTGTCGACTCCAGGGTCCCTGAGGATGTCATTTCACTTACTTGCCTTTTTCCCTCTGCAGGAAGTCAGAAGCACCACAGTAGCTTTTCTGCTCCTGAGAATTCCCACTTTAAAAATCAAAGTGGTGTCCAAGAAAGAAGTCTTTGAAGCTAATCTTAAAACAGAGTGTGACCTGTGGCACCTGATGGTGAAGGAGATGTGGGCTGGGAAGAAGCTGGCCGACGACCACAAGGTCTGGGGCCCGGGCTGCCTTTTTATTCTCACCCAAGGCTCATGTCTCTATAATAATGCTCAGCATAAAGCCAGGTGGGCCTGGGCCTGGGCCTGGGCGCGGGATCCATTGAATTAGATGAGGTCTCATCAGAAGGCATTAAGGATGCTGTGGTGCACGCGACCCAGTGCAAAGCCCTGGGGTCTTGGGGGACGCCCTGGGGGCAAACGCAAGCGCCGGCAGGGTGGTGTGGGTGGACTGTGGGAGAGGCCACTCAGCACTGCCCCCTGCCCCTGGTGACACCCCAGGGAGGGGACCGTCGGGGGCTGGACTCTGGCAGGTCTGAGCTGGGTGGTCCGGGCACACCCTGCTCTAAGCGGCTCTTCATTGTTCCCCTTCACAGGATTAGGGTTTTGGTTGGGGGGAGGTGTTAGATTCCTTCCACAGGGTTACATTTATGTCCTAGGGCCTTCTGTACCTTCATTTACTTTGGGCCAAACTGATGGCTTTGATCACACCAAATTAAGACTCCCTAGTCGTGAAGGGTACCATGGACGGAGGGTAAGACATGAGGACACACGGTGCAGGGCAGATATTTGTCTTGTCTAAATGGCAAGATGAGACAGGAAAACCCACAACAAAGTGGGCAGAGGGTACGAATAGGGAACTCCCATGAGGGAGCAGTTCAGAAGGTTCTGGAGAGGTGTGCCCACGGATCCTCAGGGAGATGCGGGTGAGGGCGGCACCCAGTGGAAAGCGTCAGGAAGAACGTATGTCCAGTGGTGGGAGAGCTGCCGTTTGTGATGGACGTTCTGTCACTGGAGAAGCCCAAGGTCATGGAGGCAGAAGGAGCGTTTCTGTTTGGAGCAGGAAGCGGGGACTAGGTCCTAAGATTCCAATACTCTATGACTTCGAGGCTCACTGTTTGGTTTTATACCCACTGGTTTATTTAGCACACACTGGCTCATCAAAGCCCGTGGGCTGGCAGACGTCTAAGGAAAGTCGTACGGGCTCACATCCCGCCCTCTCCTTTACAGTGTCTGAGGCTGCCTTTGCCCTTGACGGCAGAGCTGAGTCGTCGTGGCAGAGATTGCGTGGCCCACAGACCCTAAAATGTTCAGCACCTGGCCCTTTACAGAAGTTTGCTGACCCCTGGTATAAACAGCCAGCGTATGTCTCAACTAAGAGGACACGATTACATGACATCGAATCCAAATCTAAACTCTTCACGTGGCTTTGAAAACACACTTCTTTGAAAGTGTTGTTTTATGTGACGTGACAAAGTCTTAGAGTGAAATGATTTCAGTGAAGCTGTGCTGAGATGACTGTCCCTCCTACAGGACCCCCAGTACGTCCAGCAGGCACTGACCCACGTCCTGCTGATGGACGCCGTCGTCGGTGCACTGCAGTCGCCCGGCTCCATCTACGCGGCCTCCAAGTTATCTTACTTTGATAAGATGAAGAACGAAAGTAAGATCAGCATGTGTTCAATGCAGCCATGGTGTCTTGAGTTACGTCTTAAGTGATTTTTATCTGGTTGACTTTTGTCGTATCAATTAGAACCAATCCCAAATGTCTCAAGTTTTTTTCTTCTGTACTTTTCATTTCTGAATATCACACGTTGTTCTGCATCTCTCCTTTTCTCACTTGATAATACCTTGGAGCTCTCTGCTCCTAAGGACACATCGAGGTACCTCATCATTTCAGTGTCTGGGTTGTTAGAGTCCACTTTACACTGGATGATATTGGTCCTGAATCTTAGTTGCCAGCAACAGAATTGCTGCTGGCTGGTTCAAGCAGAGCAGAAATTTGTGGAAGGCTGTTGCGTGACTCACGGAATCGCCATCGTGATCGCTGGAGTTCTGCGGTCGGACACACGCCCACTGCGGAGCTGCAGGGACCTCTGTGCCCGGCTGCCCTTGGCTGCCGGACCCTGCTGCACGAGCGCGTGGAGGCCCCCGATGGCCAGCTCTCTTTTTTCTCTTGATTTGGTCAGTTTCCCTCCATAGCAATGCTCTGATCTCCGCCTGTAGCTTGAAATCTGGCTCTCACATTCTGGAAGCCATACGGAGGTTGGTGGTAAGCTCAATTTCTTATTTTTAGAAGATTTTTCAAGTCTAGGAAATAGCAAATAGGTGAGAATAGCTTCATGCATCATTTTAGCTATTTCTGTTTTGTTGCAACTTTTAAATGAGCTCCTAAAACCAACTGTCCTGTGCTTTGCGTAAAGAAGCAGAGAATAGAGGATTACTTACCGCTATTGACATTACTATGTGCTGGAAGTCACATGTGCTAGATTAAACCCACAGCATGAAATTAATTCATGAAACACGGCTGAACAAGTTGTAGTATGTTCTTAAGATGACACCTGTTCTGTCTGTATATGCACTTGTCAAAAAGTAACAGTTTTATTGAGATACAGCTCACATAGCATTATTCCTTTTTACAGGGTACACCTTCCTGGTTTGAGTGTATTCAGAGTTGTACAGTCGTCAGCATAATGGGTTTTAGAACATTTTCATCTCCCCAGTAGTAAGCCCCGTACATTTAGCAGCCAGCCCTCACCTGCTAAGCAACCACTAGCCTCCTTTCTGTCTCTGTGGATTTGCCACATTTTGGCCTCGTCTGTGCACTTCCTCTAAGTGAACTCGTCTGGTACGTGTCCTGTGTGTCTAGCTTCCTTCACGTAGCATCACGCGCTCCAGGGTTCACCCGAGCGGCAGGTGTCACTACTCCCGTCCCTTTGTGGCCGCATGTATGCCGCTCTGTGGCTACGGCACAGTTTATCCAGTCCTCCACTGACCATTTGAGTGTTTCTGCTCCCTAGCTGTCATGAATAGTGCTGCCGTGAACGTCCACATACAAGTTTTTGTTTGGACGTGTGTTTTATTCCTCTTGGGTATGTACAGCCAGGGAGACACTGTTGTTTAAACTGTCATCCCAGAATCAGGGAAAACAAGCCTCAGTTATGTGCTGATTCCCCTTGATGCATTTTCCTCTTTGCTGTGTCTGTCACTAACTGTGATCCCTGGAGCTTCCTGGTCCCAGGACCCCCCCCTCTCTGGGAGCAGACAGGATGCTCCAGTTGCTGGAGTGACCTGGGGGCGCTCTTGTCAACAGTCCTAGAACCAGACATCGATTGCTGGGTTTTTTTCCCCCCCCTTAATTAGGAACAAAATCAAATACACACTACAATTCAGCTGTTTAGACCACTCCAAGCTCATGCCTGATCTTTGTCAAGAGTTTACAGAAAAGCCTTCTCACTCCTCTGGAAATAACATACACAGTTACCATGGCAGCACCCAACAAATGACACTCTTAATTCCATACGGCAAAGCGGGGATGGTCCAGGCTGTGTCCCTGACCCTTGTTCCCAACCAAGAACTGTTTCCCTTGTGTAGAGCGTAACGAGGCAACCATACATGATCCTGAGCTAAGTTAATAGCTTATGGTCCATTCGTGATGGAAGGTCTAGAAATGAAACTTTCTGAAATCTGCACCCCATCCCTGGGGTGGGGCATTTGGCAATATTTGTGGGGTGTGTGTGTGGGGGGGGGCAGTGGGGAGGTTGCTACTGGCATTGACTGGGTGAGGCCAGGGATGCTGCTAAATGTCCTACAGCACACAGGACGCACCCACGGCAGCCACGTTATGTGACAAGGGTGAGAAACCACTCGTGGGTTAGATTTATGGGGAAACATATAAAGTCTTCTCTTGGCTAGACCATATGTAACGGTTGAGTGTGGACAGAGGTCAGATCATTTAGCTCGAGAGCTGTGTTTAAACAAAAAGCAATGTGAGACGTGGGCAAATGCTCGCCCTCTGGCCGGATACGCTTGGCTTTACTTTAATGTCCAGTTTAAAGAGAGCGTCG